CTAACACAACTGTATGATCCCGGTAAGTGGCCAGAACGAATTATTGTTAAGCAGTACAGATTTTTTCGTAAGGCCGGAACTTTTAGAGAATAAAATAGGGAATCCTAATTATTTATTGTTAAATGTTAGAAGTTTAAGTGTAGATAAATGTAACGAATTAGAATTAATATTGAATGCATATAGCGGAAATATTAAATTTATCTGTCTAACTGAAACCTGGGCTACCGATACCTCAATTAGTAGTTTTAGTTTTAGTAATTACAGTCTAGTATCTTATTACTGTAGGAAGTTTGTGATCGGAGGTGGCGTTGCTATTTGGTGTGCCAAAGGACTAAACGTACAAGCTATCAAATTAGATCATTTTTGTATGGACAAAAATTTTGAAATCTGTGAAATTTCCTGCAAGTTAGACTCTAATAATACCTTATTATTGTTTAGTTGTTATCGATCTCCAACTGGAGATGTTAGTATGTTTTGTGACCAACTTTACAATGTGTTAAATTTGTGTTTTAAACCTAAGTTAAAAATCATATGCTGCGGTGATTTTAATATTGACGCAAAGGTAGATAGTAAAAATCTTAGATTGCTCAGCAGCGTGTTTACAAGTTTCAATCTTGGATTACACTTAACAAACCCTACACGGGTGAAGAATAATTCTTCATCTACCATAGACCTTCTCTATTCTAATCTATGGACGTTTGATAATAATTGGTCTGGTGTAAATGACAACAATATTTCTGACCATAGAACAATTTTGTTTAATCTACCCGCTTTGCAATATAAACCGGTATCTCAAAAATTCTTTAAGCGGAACATAAATGACCAGGAAGCCATCGTGAATTTTTTAACGTCTCTTTCTCAAATGAATTGGAATGATTTCTACAAAATCGGGAATATAGATGACGCTTTTGAATATTTTATAAATACATTTCAGTATTATTTCGATATATACTTTCCTAAAAAATTATATTTTGAGAATGCTCTTCACAAAAATTGGGTAAATGATGACGTGAAGCTATCTAGCTTGAAACTTAAAGATCTTTACATTCACAAATGTAGAAATTTCGAGTTAAACGAAGTCTATAAAGAAGCAAAAAAAGATCACTTTCAACTTGTTGCATCAACAAAAAAAAAATATTTTCAAAACAAAATCTTTATGTCCAAAGATCCATCTAAAACGGCATGGCGTGTAATTGCACAAGCTTCTGGACGAGATAAGAAGGTGAATGACATAGAAATTGAAAGAAATGGTATCCAGCTTACACAACCAAAATTAATTGCTAACGCATTTAATAATTTTTTCAAAGATGCTCCAGAGAATGTTATTAATCAGATTCCATCCAAGCAAAACGATAATAAAAACCGAATAAATTTTCCATCATCAAAAGAAAGTTCAATTTATCTAACTCCTTTTCACTCGCAAGAATTAGTTAACTTATTATTGACAAAAATGAAAAACAAGAGCTCGGCAGGACTAGACGATATTCCTTTGTGTATTATAAAACATAGTATAACAACTATTGCCAATCAACTTACTTATTTAGTTAATTTGTCTTTCAGTTCAGGGAAATTTCCTAACTTACTCAAAACCAGCAAAGTAATACCTATATTTAAAAAAAATAACCCCCAGCTGATGGAAAACTATAGACCCGTAACAATAACATCAGGATTTTCTAAAGTTTTTGAATACTGTTTTGTTCAGAGACTCCTAGGTTACATTAATAAGTTATCAATTTTATCAGATAGGCAACATGGGTTTCGTTTGGGACGATCCACGGCAACAGCATTACAAAAATATCATGAGAACTTATTGGAGTTTATTAATGAAGGCGAGTGCCCGGTTGGAGTATTTTGTGACCTCAGCAGGGCATTCGACTGCGTAAGTCATGAAAAATTATTCATTAAATTAGATCGGATTGGCATTCGTGGCAACGCTTTAGATTGGATAAAGACATACTTACATGACAGAAAACAATATGTTAGTATAACAAGCAAGAATAATCATAATATTGTTACAGCAACTAATTCTAATATGCAAAATATTAATGTCGGCGTTCCACAAGGTTCGATTGTTGGACCAATTTTATTCGTGTTATATGTGAATGATTTAGATAGTATTGCGGGGGAAGGATCATTTACGATTTACGCAGATGACACATCAATCGTAATCTCAGACAAACAAAATGTCAAGATAGAAGAGAAGTCGCAGAGGGTACTGAATGAAGTTTCTAACTGGTTTTGTGATAATTCATTATTCTTGAATACAGATAAAACTCAGTGTGTTCGCTTCCACGTTCGACAAAAAAGATGCGAAAATATATCTTTGAAAGTAAATGGCACTGGAATTAATAATGTTGATGAGGTAAAATTTCTCGGAGTGATTTTTGACCATTGCTTTACATGGAACAGCCATTGTGAAAGTCTTATTTCTAAGCTATCAAAGTGTGTGTATATGTTTCGTACATTAAGATCTTATTTGTCGAAACCACAACTTTTATGTTTGTATTATGCGCAGGTGGATTCTAGGATGAGGTATGGGATATGTCTGTGGGGCTGTTCAACTATGGCATCTGATGTTTTTGTAACACAAAAAAAAGTTTTAAGAACGATCTTTGGACTAAGGAAAACCGATACCTGTAGAAATATTTTTAGAAAATATAAAATTTTAACCTTGACATGCTTGATTATTTTTGAGATGGCGATTTATACTTATGCAAACAAAAATACAATACCAACTGTACGACAAACTCATAGTTATAACACAAGACAAATTAACAACCTTACCGTGCCGTGTACCAGATACAATATTTGTTTAAATTCTTTGCGCTATTTAGGTCCAAAAATTTTCAATAAATTGCCAACCAGGATTGGGACTTGCGAAACTGTGGCGAAGTTTAAGAAGGAACTTAAAACATTTCTAGTAGACAATGCGTTTTATAGTCTAGGAGAATTCTTTAATTGTGTTGTCTAATTATTATTTTGTGATGCGATTTGCAAGTGTATTGTTTTTTTTTGTACTTATTGATGTGTCCTATACAATGTAAATGTTGTCTTAAAGGAAATAAAGTATTATTATTATATTTTGCTTTAAGGAATACACCCACTTGTGTCGTGATCAAATTGTTTATTGACCGCGGCTGAGCATTTGTACACTAACAAAATTATTTATTTGAATGTAGGTCCATTTCCTTGGAAATGGAGAGCTAAACTGCATGTGCCGGAAGAGTTAATAATATAATTAAACGATTTTAACATTTTAATACTTATACTGAATCATAAAACTACCAAACATGATTAAAGAAAATACTTAAATATATGCCAGACAAAAGAACAAAATAAAACATAGAAGTAAACTTATATACCTAAAACATGCATAATTATGATAAGCTACTACCAACTGGGTTTCATTTACATCAATCCTGAAATTTACGAATATAAACTTACGAAACCTAATAAAACTAAATCTACAATCCATTAAATAAGCTTGATATAATTTTAAAATTGAGGCTAAATTTACAAGACCCTAAATATGTGTGATACCTCCTAAAACGGTACGTGCAACTAAATTTGTAATAATAATAACAAAATAACCTCGAAAACTACAAAGATGCGAATTCTAGTAATGCAATGCGCTGAATAATAAACTGCGACTGGGTATTCATATGACCGCTAATTACTACTATTATTCCCCCGAGAATAAAAATCAAAACTAACTGTATTAAAACATGCAACTAAATCTACGCTAATTATAAAATTAAAACATCCGAAAACTGAAGCAATTGTTACATCTATTAATGCACTAAATACGCCGAGCGTAAATTCTTGTTCAGGGGCAAATCAGCGGTCACTGGGCGTTTAAATGCAGGCAGAATAAATAGCTGGAGCCTCTCAAGTGGGCTAGAAGTTAAAAAAATAGTACCATCAATGCTCTAATTTATGGTGCAGGGATTAAATTCGTATGAAGTGCGAGGTTTCTGAAGACTACCACAAAATAATTAGAGATCAAGAACATATTTAAATGTAATAAACTCAAAGTAACGGCAAAGGGATCAGGATCTGATCAAAAATTGGTTCGGTTCAGAAACTTCTAAAGCTCATTTAAATTATCCGTATCGTGAACTCTGAGAACCGGACTCGAAAACGGATGGACATTGGAGATTATTTTTCATAAAAAATATTCGATAATTTACCGGAAGAACTCTCTCGCCGAGTTAAAAACTTACACAAGGTGGAGAGTACCGCTCGAATACAAGAGCATACATGGACAAAAATGCATAAATTAAACACTTTACACAGCCGAAGTCAAGAAAGAACAACAGGGTAGCGAGACCGAGAGAAAGTCAAGCATGACTGAAACTAGACTAGTCCAGCTTTCTTCGGATTTCAGCGATCTTTGCAAGTCCAGCTTTCTTCAAAATTCAGCAGAAATTCGGGCAAAAATTCAAGTTGGAAGAATTCGGTGATTCACAACAGCAACACGACCGGTAGCACCTCAGATTTTGTCAGAATGTGGGTTCCGATGTTTCCGCCTCATATAGGGATTTTAGCCCATTTGTTTTGTTTTTAGTGTCATTTCAATGGTGATAACTGGTCCATTAATGCCATCCCGCGCTTGACTTGATTAAGAAGTACTTGCGATTTAGACCGCATTTGGTGGTTTTAAAAGGGTCACGAAATTTTAGTGCATGTGAATCCGCCGAATTTACGCAAGTTCTTGGCGGTTAAGCTCGTAAACTGCTCTAATTTATAGTACTTCTAGGATGCATTATCTTTCTCGTTGCATCAACTCGACTCATCGTGAAAACGTTTTTTGCCCGTCTTATAAATTTTCGAATTTTGATCTTACGTTCGGGGGTTTAATGAATGCGATTACCTGTTGGGGTAGTACTATATGTAAACTTGAAACATACGTGTTCAATTAATGTTTGCAGGTGTTAAAATTAAATAATCTGTCTATTCTTGGTCCTTTTAGGGTGATGAATAATTAAAGCACACTTGAATAACAAAAAACTATACATATATTTACAAAAAATAAGTTAGTAGTTACGACAAAAAAAAATACATATATATGTTATCCTCCTTGTTCTTCTATCTCGATTGCTTCATTATTGTCTTTGGGTAGTTCAGTGTTCAATGTTTCTGGTAACCAAAATGCTAAAACACCACTTGTAACTGCCGTCGCAAAAAATATTATCAAAGGCAATGATTTGAATATTCTTTCCTACAACAGAATTCATAATGGCGTTTGTACAATCATCACATTTCTAGACTCACCAGTAGTGGAATTTGTGGAGCAATCATACTTCCGATTCTTCCAAACATAGAACAGATAGCAAAAATTGAATGCCTTGAGTTGGTTGGAAACAATTCGGCAGTGTAGATGTACAGTATGGTATAAGATACAGTTATAAAAAATTTTCCTTTTAAAAAAATTACCAAACTTAACCACTTCGCTAGAAAAGAGAAATAGTTTTCTGCATAATTTACAGAAAATAATATTTAGTACTTACATTCGTCTACGAAGTTTACTAAAACGCACCAAACTCCTCCAGTAATCAAACTTAAGCCTAAGGTTTTTCGACGGCCAAAACGATCAATTATACTTTGTGTTATAAAATAAGCGGGAACCTCTACTAAAGAGGTACATATAAAATTTGCATAAACATTTTCAGATAAAGTCACTGACTGTATTGTTAGACCGTAATAGGGAAAAGTGCAGCATATCCAAGTAAAAGAGCAATGGATAATTCTAATAACTATTTTTTTCGATTTAAAAACTTCTTTAAGTGGAAAGGAAAGTTTTCGATCATTTTGATGTTGACTGAATTCTGTTGTTAAAATATCTTTGTCAAACTCCACTCCTGCATTCATCTTAGACATTGTATTTAATACCTTGTGTGCATGTTTTGCTCTTTTTTTTAGAATGAGCCATCTTACAGATTCTGGGATATACCATAAAGAAAACAGTATTAAAACTCCAGGGGCGTATATAACACGAAGAAAAATCCTCCATGATGATGTTATCCAGGCTGCTGTGGCCAGAATTACTTGTCCCAGTGCAAAAGCAAGAGAGATTATAGTATTAGCAGTGCTACGTCTTGTTTTATCGACAATTTCTAAAGCTAATATTTTGTTAATTTAAAATAACATATATTAATTATTGTCACCTACCTAAAATAAAGGCCCCACTATAAAGACCTGAACCTAAAGCAGTATCTAAAAATTCCAAAATTATGTAGACAATGTATTCAGGTGAATATGATCTCATAAGGCCTACGGTTGTACTAAATACCAAACTAGCTATTATCATACGTTTCCTGCCAAAACTAAAAAGTTTAAACATAAGAGGAATAATATGGCTTAATAGTCAGATACCTACTGATCTGACAGAAATCCAACAAAGGGAAGGCAAAACAGTTCCCCTATAGCACTCACAGTACCAGCTAGTGTTAATTTCCATAAATTTTCGTCGCAAGTAATGTTAAACTAAAATGGAAACTTTTTTCATACTGAAAATTTTAAATCTGTAGGTACACATACATCTTGCACTATAGTCGTTTGCTTCTTTTCGAACACATAAGCGTGACAAGTGTAAGTTTCATTTTTATAAAAATCTGTGCAAGTATTATTGTACATCGGCATATAAAGCAGACACCGACTGGGTACGTTGTTTTTGTAAGGAACCGCGTTTTTTAGCCATGTTGGATTATAAAGTTCAGAATCATTTCGACAGTTTTGAATTTTGCATCTATAAGAATAAATTCTAATTACTCCTACTATAATTAAAACAACAACCTTTAAATATATAGTCCACAAACAATATCATAAAATAATAAAAGTGTTTATACCTGTATTTTGTATCACGTGCAACAAAAATATAACTCATTTGAAAAACGCTAAAAACTACAACACAGCATAAAGGGATATATGCTCGGATTTGAAATTGTCCCCATTTTCCTATTATGTTTAAGAGTTTTTCAAATTCCACTTTTTCCATACTGTTGTGTATAACTTAAAAAAATAATTAAAACAACACTGGCGATACAAAAATCGTCAATAGAAGCTACCTACTAAATAATCATGTATTTAAATTAGCACACATGCGAAACACTTGGCACGTTAATTATAACACAAAGGTTGCTGGCTCAACTTTAGTTTGTTGTCATTATGTCGACACTGCAAGAACTGCACTGTTAATACGTTAAAGTGAATATTATAGCTTTCTGTTTTTCACGGCACTGCATTTTTTTTTCTAAAAACGAAAGCCTGTTAATTAATGACTGCAGCTTGTGTTCAGTTTTTGGAATTGGGAACTTCTTAATCAACTACGTAAAAGTTAAAGTTTCACTGCAATTTTAGCGACTTCTACAGCTGAAGAATTTCTACCGTACGCTAGATGGCACAGTATGTTACTTTATATGCTTTATCTAATAAAGTAAAAGTCTTATTTCACGTGATGCTTGTAATTCGCTAATACAAATTGTATCATAATTCACAGAGCACTAGTAACGCATAACAAGAAACAGGGTCATGCCTCACATATTTTGTAAATTTGTGAAATCTAAAAACAGAAATTGATTTAATGAAGTTGTGGGATAATAGAGTGGTGAAAACTGGTTTGATGGGAAATGTGAATGATATAATAGCTATTTATACAGGGTGAGTATTATAATAACGGGACCCTGACCAAATTTCATTCCAACACAAAATACATATGTCATATGTAACTCTTTTTATATTTTATTTTTCTTAAATGTACATGGATAGCAATGCCTAGTAGTTAATTTTGGCTTTCGCAATCATTCTATTTGTCAATTTTGAGCTCCGATAAGTTTTTAGTCTTCGCGATAAGATGAGGGTTAAATACACGAACGATGAAAAGGTTGCTATGATTTTAATTTTTGGAGAATGCGGAAAAAATGCTGTTGCAGCAGCAAATCTCTACGAAAGAAGATATCCTGATAGGCGACATCCATCCGACCAAATCTTTAGATGTTTAGAAAAAATATTAAGATAAAATTGGCCGAAAGAAACAAGAAATAGTGGACTTACCGCTGCTGGTGTCAAAAATTAAATTCGTGTAACTGAAATCATAGCCCGCATGTGAGTCAAAGATTTATAGCACGACAGGTAGGAATATCTCAATCTTCCGTTTAAAAAATTTTGAGAGCGAATAAGTTCCACACCTACCATGTGACATTAGTACAAGATCTAAAAGAAGAAGACTTTACCAGAAAAATACAATTTTGCAATTTTTTGCAACATCAACTAGAGTTGGACGACAATTTTTTATTCAAGCGATGAAGCAAGATTTGGCAATAACGGGATTGTTAATCGGCACAACTGTCACTATTGCTCCCAAAATAACTCACACTGGATCAGAACAGCTCATTTTCAAAATGTTTATTCCATAAATGTGTGGACTGGTATTATTGCGGTTACGTAATTGCCCCATACTTTTTCGAAGGCAACTTAACAGGACACAGGTATCGACAATTTTTGAAAAATGATTTCCCGGGGTTATTAGAAAATGTTCCTCTCAACCTATGACAAGAGTTTTAACGGGACGGGGCACCACCTCATTATCACAGGGTCGTTAGGGACTATCTTAATGAGACGTTTGCAAATAAGTGGATTGGCAGAGGCAGTGTGAATGCATGGCCCCCTCGTAGTCCCAACTTAAGACCTTTAGATTTCTTCCTCTGGGGGGTTGTAAAAGAAAAAGTTTACGAAAGTCCTATTCGTAATTGTGAAGATTTAAGAACCAGAATTCGAAATGCATGTGCTGCAATAACTCCTGAAACACTTGCCCGAGTCCGGTTGTCTTGCTTAAATCGCATCGACATGTGTGTTGCGCAGGAAGGGAGGTATTTTGAACAGTACTTACGCTAGTTAAATTTATTTAATTGTTCAATTTATTTATTACATTTCTTTGAATTAATATGTTGGTGTTTTTTTAATATTTCATTTGTGAAATTTTGATTGACGTCTTTCAGAAATAAACAAAACTAGTAAGGAGAGTACCTACGTTGATCCTAAAAACGTGTGTGTTTATTTTGGAATCTAGCGATAACTGATAGATGTATGTTGTGTTGCCTTGAAAATTGGTCAGGGTCCCGTTATTATAATACACACCCTGTATATCAAGTGGCAAAATGAACGCTTTTTTGGCAGTAAACGTTAAGTTCCTCACACGAGCGTAGCAATTTTGAACAACTAAATGTAAATATGAATAAATTATAATTTTGGTCGAGCGATAATTTTCAATCAAAAGTTAAGTGGCTGAAAATATTTAGTTGGTTACTAGCATTTATATAATAAACAAGAAAAACCATCGTGCAATTTAGTAATAATTATTAAAGTTGGTGCCTGTTTATCTCTGCGGTGAACAAAAATGTGTGATTCTGATGAAGACGACATTCTACTTAACATTGAAGGGACCACACAAGAAGCTGTGTCGCAGTTAATCCCCTAAAAATCTCGGTCCGCATACAAGACAACATACCACCGTTTCGAAGACTGGACCCACAAATAAAAAGTAGAATGCATTGATGAGAAAGTAATAAATTTAATGTTGGCTTACTTTCTTGAAACGTCCAAGACTGTAAAGCCTTCAACGTTGTGGAGTGTATATTCAATGTTAAGAACAATTATTTCAGTCAACAAAAACCTTAATTTAAGTAAGTGTACAAATTTAATTGCATTTTTGAAACTACAAAGTGAAGAATAGGGCGCAAAAAAATTCAAAACCTTCACCAAGCAAGATATTGAAAATTTTCCGATGACGAGGGCCGCAATAATAAGAATGACGGGGGCCTGCCGCAGACAAGAACTGCTTAATTTGCGCATAGATAATTTTTTAAAAATCACCTTGCCCATCACTAAAATAAAAGTGGCGCGTGAGTTCACAATAACAGAAGAAAATTTCAAAAATTTAAACTTGGTGAATATTGTTTGCAAATATGCAGTACTGCGTCCATCTCATACTTCGCATTAGACATTTTTTATAAAAAGGCAAAATGTACTGTTTGTACTGTTCAACCGGTGGGCTTCCAAGTAAGATTTAAAATTTTTTGGAATTACCAAATACAGAACAATATATTGGTCTCTGCTTCCGACGTCCTTCAGATTCTTTAATGGCCGACGGGGGGGGGGGGGGGGGATATGTGGGTTATAAAAAGTCATGATGCCTAGAAATCATCAAACGTTGCTAAGGGATACGTGGACGATTGTTTGGAGAACAAAAAGAAAATATGTTACTTGATTATGGGTGAAGGAGACACCGAAAACTGTCAGGTTGCAAAAAAACTTAAATTTAATGAAGCTAATACTAATGATTGGTATTTGTCAACTCAGTCAAATATTCATATATCAGATGAAATGTGTGTATTTTCTGCTAATGGTGTTTGTTTTTCTAATTTAATAAATTGTACGTTTTACTTTAATTATAAATACAATTTTTATAAAACTTTCAATTATTACTTTTCATATTGACACTAGTTGCAAAATGTAAATCCATTTTAGCGCTAGTGCTAAAATAGCATCGTTTTGACACTCAATATGATGACAAAATGTCGTCATAGTGATTCAAAATTCCAAAAAAAAAAAAAATAGATTCACAATACCTATGTGTTGATATTATTATAGATGATTGCTAATGGAATACTTAAACGTGTTTAGTCGTTGTGATAAAACTTACGATATTCACAATAATATAAGATATGAGGGTTTAAGACGTTTTGAGTTTGCGATTTGTATAATAATTTTACTTTCCCAGCCAAAGAAGTAATTTTGGAAGAAAATATTTAGTTATAAATATGTATACAACTACATACATACATAGGCGGTTCTGGCATGGGCATGATTTAAGTTTCATATAAAAATTCTGTGACACTGGGGACAGTTTAGTGCTACGTTTCAGACTGGGGAGTAAAATACTCCATAAGTATTTTTGTCCCCAGAACCGTAGCCAAGTAAAGATCTATTTATCAAAGAACAACATTTTTTGAAAATGGTTTTGCACGTATACTCACAATGAGTGGTGGCATTAAATTATAATTATAATGACAGTTATAACTTGGCGTAACTTCCTTCCTTATTCAAGTTAAAATTAGAAGTACTACAAAATAATTTTTCTACCGCGCACGTTTTTTGATTTTCTAATAGAGCTATTAATAAAATACAGTTAACTATTTAAGTACCTATAGTCCAGTCATTTTAGGATAAAAAAGATCAATATCTAGTCTAGTCACCTTTGTCTGTGATAATATGATCTCAATAATAAACCATTAATCATTAGTTCATGTTTGTTTTTATTTATTTATTTCAATCTCGGAATGAGAGATTATAAGCTGAATTTTTGTATATACCTTAATTTTGGCGTTTTAAAAGTTGTGTCAAAAGTCTCATAAAATCTCGTGTCTGCGTCGTAAGTTATTCAAGGTCAAAGATGAAGAAAAACAGTTTTTTACGATTATCTCGGTTTCTATTGCTCCAGTGATGTTAACATCTATTATCATAATTGTAGAGCACAAAATTTGGGACAAATTTTATTTGAAATATTTTTTCATGCGCTCAATCGTTTTTGAGATAGAGGGCAGTGAGCGCGCAGCGCTCATCCACACGTACTGTAATGCAATCAACCGTGAATATCTATGAATACTACCTTGAATTTTGAAAAATTTGTATTATTTATCAATTAATACATTGTATTTAAACATTTTACATATTTTCAACATATTCATTGAATAATACTTACCTACTTTGTGTAATTAAAAACGCATTTAATGAAATATTTATTGTATATATCTCAATTTATTTATATCTTTAAAATGTGTAAGGTTTTAAGTACTTATTTTTCTATCATGATTATAACTGGAAGGTCTGGAAACAACGATTCAGGGCACCGAAGATGATGACGATGAAACAGAAATTCCCGAACGTCCAGAAGATAACGGTGAAGAAGAAGAAAATTAATACTTTTGTTCTTTAAATTATTAAAGATTTCTAGATTTTCACTGCAATTCAATTTCAATCGTAAGAAATGCACAGATACTGAACAAAGATAAAATTAAACTACATTAACTCGTTTTACTTCCTTAAATTTTTATTTTGAAAAAATTAATATAACTTTTAGATATATAATAATACAACAAGTATAATATATTATCTAATATATAAAAACTTACACATTTGAAAGATAAAGTACTTAGTTATTTTTCTACTTAAAATCTACTTTCAATAAATTAAGATATACATACAATAAGTATTTCATTTAAAGAATTTTTAATTCTACAAAATAGGTAAGTATCATTATCATTAAATGAATGTATTGAAAATATGTAAAATGTTATTAAATGCAATGTATTAACTGATAAATAATACAAATTATTATTCAAAATTAAAGGTAGTATTCACAGATATTCACGGTTGATTGCATTACAGTACGTATGGATGAGCGCTGCGCGCTCACGCATGAAAACGCATGAAAAAATGTTTCAAATAAAATTTGTGCCAAATTTTGTGCTCTACAATTACGGTAATAGATGTTAACATCATTGGAGCAATAGAAACCGAGATAATCGCAAAAAACTGTTTTTCTTCACCTTTGACCTTGAATAACTTACGACGCAGACACGAGATTTTATGAGACTTTTGAGACAACTTTTAGAACGCTAAAATGAAGGTATATACGAAAATTCAGCTTATTATCTCTCATTCCGAGGTTGATCGCTAATTTGACTGGACTACTACAACATATTAAAACAAAGTCTAATAGGGAGCTTACGACAAATGTAGAGATACGTTCTTCACGCTAACCTTTAATAAAGCTATTAGTTTATTTAGTATTACGATAATAAATCCTGCGAGTTATTCTTTTCTCTAAAAAATTAAAATTATTATTTAAAAATAGCAAAATTCATTACATTAGGATTGCTTAAATATTAGTGCAAAAATTGTGTAGTCGTCATACTGGTCCAAAATGTAAAGTCTAGTCGTCTTCATATTATAGTATTTACTTGATGATGACTTGTATAAAGAGCTATGCTATATGATGAGTCGAAATATGTGTGTCTAGTGTTTTTAATAAAAAAAAAAAAACGTTTTTAGAAGTTCATTTCGACAGAAAGTCATCTCTATTCCAAAGTGAGCTGATACAACATTCGCTTACTTGTGAATTTTAGGGTAAAATTGCCGAGAAAGTGTTGTGGACACTCGGTCCGCTTTACATAAGGTGAACAGTACACCCAATTGTAATAAGGTTATTTAACAGACTGGTAGAACGTCTTCTAGAGTGTAAGTATAGCACGCTTTCCTTCTTTCGTTGATAAAAACTGTTTGTGCAAGACAATATACACTGCCCGCAGATACACTATTATTTCCATAAAGCACAAATCAAGATTTAAGATTTAAGATTTATTTATTTACTCAGCAGACCGAAGTCCAATTACAGGATAACAAAATACAAAACAACAAACTTGTATCTACTTAAAAAGAATACCGAAAAACGTTAAAACATATTAAAATAGTCTTTACATAGCCTTCTAAATGCGCTAAGCTGAAAACGAAATATATCTATGTCTTTGTTAAATCTACATAATTTGTTATAACTAACACACATATTGTACATTGGCGAATATACTACACAACAATAGTTTAACTTGTTTACGATGTAAGCATTATAAAGTATTTTCAAACATTCAATATCTTTAAAACTAGTGGTGTTCCTTTTTATAAAGCCTAACATGGTATACGCGTCTTTACAGATTTTATTAATATGAGGAACGAATGACAGGGAACTATCTAAAGTTACGCCAAGATCCTGAATTTGTTCACATTTGTTTAGTAACGTATTGTCTAGGTAATATTGAAAATTAATTTCATGAGTTTTACGAGAAAAGGTCATTACTTTACATTTATTTATGTTAATCTTAATTTTATTAGTTCTACAATACATCACAAAATTATTAATATCCTCTTGAAGCGCTAAAGAATCGAGGTGGTCTTTAATTATTCTTACAATCTTTAGGTCATCCGCGTACAAAAATACTTGGCTGGTGAAGGCTTTCGTAATATCATTGATAAAAATATTGAACAAAATAGGCCCAAGATTTGACCCTTGTGTTACTCCGCTAGTAGAAGAATACACCCTAGATTGATAGCCATTGTGTTCCACATACTGAGATCTTTCACTCAATATTGATTGAAAAAGAGATATCAAGCTGTTACATAAACCAACTTTTGAAAGCTTATTTATTAATATATTATGATCAACAATGTCAAAGGCCTTAGAGAGATCAGTGTAAATAACATCTACCTGATGACGTTTATCTAGAGCATTGGAAACTAATTGGACAAATTCACTTAAATTAGTAGTAGTAGATTTCCCTTTGATAAAACCATGCTGCCTGTGTGTAATTTGGGATGTTACGTGGCTATACAAAATATTAGTTAAGATGCTGTCAAAAATTTTTGCAAAATTGCTAATGACAGATACTGGGCGATAGTTAGTGACATCTGACTTACTGCCCGACTTGAAAATTGGGATTACTTTAGCGATTTTCCATAATTTGGGAAAGGTACTGGTCTGAACAATTAAATTGTACAAATAGCAAAGAGGTTCGCAAAAACAATTAATACAATCCTTAACAAGGAATGCCGGTATTTTATCCGGTCCCGAAGTAAAATTAGACTTTAACTTTTTCACAGCCTTCTTGATGTCAACCATAGATATATGAAATGTATGGAGCACATTTTGCATATCACAGTCAGATGTATCACAGTTTAGGTTATCCACAATGCCACAGCCATTATTATCACAGACAGAATCAAAAGTATCACAGATGGGATGACATGTCTTCGACGAATAGACACTGCTAAATAGATCTGCAAATCCTTCGACAATGCTATATGGCGAAGACAATTCTTCAGCATCAAGAGTCATTTTGCCTGGAATTCTGGTTACATTTTTTTTTGTGTCAATAAATGACCAAAGCTTGTGCGGATCGTTGCGAAGACGAAACTGTGCGTCACTCACAAATTTATCGTAATCTTTTTTGATATTAGACTTGATTTCTTTACGAATTTGAATAACCATATCGGAATAATATTGTAATTTAGTTTTTTTGTAAAGTTTCCTATATCGATTTTTCATTTCGATTAATTTAATCAGTTGCAGAGTATACCATTTTGGATAGGTGCGGTTTTTAATGGGTTTACAGGGCACAAAAGAGTCAACACACTTCATCAGATCATTATAGAAAAAATCCGTAGCTTCATCGACGTTCGATATTTTATAAAGATCTTCCCATGATTTAAAGGCTAATTCTGTATATAACGTAGTAAGATCACATTTTTTGTAGTTGTAATAGTATTTCGAATGTTGAGTGACAAAAGGTATATTACGCTCAAAATTAGACAGACGTACTAGCAACTCCAGAGATGGGTGATGGTCGTCTTCTTTAACAAGAGGATCAAGTTGTCGAGTGATTTCGAAAACTATATCTTCTGAACAGAGTACCAGATCTAAATATCTACCATTCTTATTGGGTATGTTGTTTATTTGATTCATTGCATTGAATGCCATAAATGTATGTAACGCATTCACTGTTCCTTTACTGCCTAAGATATTTTGTTCGTAATTATATTCGGGAATATTAAAATCTCCCGCAAAAATAGTTCTTTTAGTGAGATCCGTGGTTAATTCAATATATTCGAATATGGCTTCATACACATAAGATGGTTTAGCAGGTGGGATATAAACTGCAATAATATTGACGTAATTTCCCTGATTTCCTAGCTTGACCCCAACAAGATCCACAGCATCATCTGGACTGCGCAATTTCATATCACTCGAAGAAAAACCATTTTTTACGGCGACAAGAACTCCTCTACCTCTATTGCCTCCGTTACGTTGATATACCTCATAACACTCGTCAAAGTATTCTGCAGGTCTGATATCTTCCCGAAGCCAAGTTTCGGATAAAATTATGACGTCACTTTCCGAATTTAGTGCATTCAAGTAAAAAGTATTGGTTTTGGTGTTTAAACCTCTAACGTTTTGAAGTGTGACTGACAATTCTATTTGACTTAGTGACTGCTGGGTTGATGTACGTTTTTTTTAACAATTTTAGGTACCCCGTCTGTATATTTAAGGATGATATCCTCTTCTCCGTTCGTTTTCCGAGTTCTAAATTCTTTGCGAACATTATAAGCGTGATTGCGTTGTTTAATCGTAAGATCTCGGTTCAAATATATGTTGTATTCAACCCTATAAGATCTGAGTATTTGTAATACTTGACCGGGTGACGCAAATTGCAATTTAATAGGACGAGGACGATTTTCACTAGCTTTACCTAATCTGTTACATTTAATAAATGTGGTGTCAGGCATATTTTTCCTTAGTATATTAAGACATCTTGTTTGATCATCATTGACCCGTTCATTGATCGATGATTCCTTGGACTCCGGTAAGTTGTAGACAATGATGTTTGCTGCTTTTTGTTGACGTTCTACTATCTCATTGATAATGTCGTCTTCAGATAACGATGGATTGGTTATCGGAGGTGCTGGCACCGATTTTTCTCTTTTTATACTTGCAATTTCGTGCGATATATGTTCAATTTGATCTTTTAATGATTTTATGATGTTGACCACATCACAATTTTCACAATAAAAACTAATTTTTCGTTGTTTAGCACGTAAACACGATACTTCCGTTCTGGATAAACCAGCACAATCAGGATGTACGAGTAGTCCACAGATATCACACTTAATACCGTCAGGACACAATTCATTACACTTAGCGCATTTTTTATTCATTTTTACACAGTTTTTTAACGAATTTACAGACAGCGAATTGAGCGATATATTGTAGGCGGCGCTCTATGATGTGTAATCAAGCTCAAGAGTCACGAAAAAAATATCGAAACTTAGTAACGTATGATTAAACTTACAATATCTTAAGGTCTGTTTCAAGTCTTTATTATGTAAGACAAAAAGGTAACTGCTTACTTAAACAATTTATTTTGAAAGATAATTCGTGTGGAAACTGCGCAACTCTTCAGATGCAGTAATGTTGAATGTTCTTACTTTAATGATCAAGCGATAAACAAAGCAAACCAACTTTAATTAATTATTTGTGTCTGAAATGCATCTACTGTGAAAAGACCTCCGAAGAGTATCTGTCGTAATTAAAACGAGCTTTTGGAGAAAGCGCTGGTTCCGTTGCTATAGCAAGTTTATTCAATATAAACTAAACCTCCGTGACGTGTGTCAGTGAAAATTTTACAGTATGGAATTTTGCAAGAGTCCATATTAAGCGAAGACATCTGCGGGATTTAAAGCTTTTCGAAGATGGATTGCGGGAATTCGGAAGGCGGCCACATAGCCGTCCTCAAAACCTCGGACTTTTACCGTACTTGCAAACTACCGAAAAGATTTGAATATCCTTCTTGGTTTTATGGATATGGGATTCAGCGGAGGCCGCCGGAACATCCTTTTTATAGGACCACTTCTAGCGATTACGGGAGGTAAATAAATAAGGAAAAAAGGTCGACGCGAATTCCACATTTATTTTTAATTTGCAGATACCCACCCACTATACATACCGTACCTACGTCGTTTTTCCCTAATAATCAAGAGTTCAGTAAAGCTCTGGCTAAGACTGGAATGTACAGAAATTATTCGCTCAATACCGGCCTAGATCCCACGCCCTACTGAATGACCCTCGGAACTCATCTCCCAAATTTGTTAATGTTGTATTTATTAAACATGATATGCATTTTACTTAAGAATTACGAATGCCAAAGTGGATGAAGGCAGCTAAATTAAGAGAAGCCTTGTTGTGTTCATACATATTTCGTTATTGTTTTTGTTATGTTTGCTTGAAAATTTGAGACTGGTGTAATGTAACACATTGTTGGTAATAATATTTTATAATAAATTTTTGGTCAGCATTGTTTTAGTTTCTTAGATTTAGCGGTCATTAAAGATTCATTAAAGATAGGGTGATCTTATATACAGTGTGACTTAATACACTACAAAAAAATACAAAAGTATTTGCCCAGGTAAACAATGTAGTAGTTTGTTTAAAAAAAATATCTAGACTTAAATGACAGTTGATATAGCTAAAATTGAAAAATTCATTTGACGTAAACCAGGATGTTACAATAATAATTATTTATATCTGTTTACTTTTATTTTAAATAAGCACATCAGCTGCTAAGACTATTAGTGCAATGTTCACAAAATGAAACTATTGATCGATTTAGAAAAAAAAGAAAAATAACAACATTCATATTGCCAATAACATCATCTGCAAAAAACTCTTCATACTTAAGTTTTCATATAATGAAAAGCCTGAAGTTCAGAGTTTTATTTCCAGTTTACCAGGCATTCATGTAACGTAACGAGTTTTCACTTTAATGATTCGCATTAGTCTGTTTTGAAAGAACTAAGTTAGTTAGCATTTTAAAAATTCCTGTGTATTTTACTGAAAAGTTATATATGAGATTTGAAATTTCAGTGCGTTTTTAAACATTTATTGTTGTTAATTTTTCTGGTACTTAACAACTTAACCAATAATGGGCCAAAATTAACATAATTTAAAAATAGTTACTTGTGTATCAAGGCCATAAAGAACTTTTTCGGCCGATATGAAGTTTGAGGCCGAGGCGTAGCCGGGGCCTACAAGTCAGATGAGGTCGAAAAAGTTCTCTTTGGTCGAGGTATACACAACGATTTTTAGGCAACCATACATAAAAATAATAGGTTATGTAAGTGGTTAGAAAATCTTTTTTCGTTCTTGCAAAAAAACTCTTGCAAATTTAATAAAAACTAGAGTAGGGGAACGCGGGGCAAAAAGGTCATAGCGGGCAAAGCGAACAGTTGCTTAATTAAAGATATCTTCTTGAAAAAAATATTTTTTTAAATTACTAATAGATGATTTTTTGTCGCTAGATGTCGCTAACAAAAATTTTTAAATGTTGCACACAGTGTTCTGTTGTTAATGTGCGTGTGCCTGTTGGTGGTCTCAAAACGGTAAGTTTTTGTGTACTTTGTGTAAGCTTCAGCTAAGATGATATTGTATATTTATGATATTTCATTATCTCATATTATAGCCCTGACATTATTTTACTGATATATTGTAAAATTTAACTGTATACGTTCATGTTTCAAGGAATATAATCTGAAATATCTTTGAAGTACATTTGGGGGCAAACTGGACCATCGTGTTATGGGGCAAACTGAACCAGTTGTCCGCTTTGCGGGAAGACGATGCTGCATACATTTATTGTAGTTCCCTGTTTAGCGACTCAAAGGCTAAAGAAAAATGGGTCCAGTGCACAAAATGTAAAAATTGGGCTCATGATTGCTTAGGGTTTAACAAAAAAATGAAAAATTTTATTTGTGATATTTGTGCCTAAAAGCCTATCAATTGCTTATATTTTTTGTTTGTAATTTATAGAGGATATGTTATTGAGTTTTTATTGAATTTTTAAATAAAGTTTTTTATATTTTTTCAAAATTTATTGTATTTTGTACTTATTTTTATGATTTTCTATTAATATGTCCACTTTACCCAATCAGGCGGACCACTTTACCCACCCTATAGGGGTAAAGTGGACCAAATGCACGGTTAGAGTAAATTGTAAATAAGTAAAAAAATATTTAACAATTGACGTTTTTAGTTCTTTATAGTTATAGCTGAATGTTTGATGGATCAACAAAAAGCGAATCATTGATATAGTGGATATAAAAGTTTATTTGCCCATTTTTCCATATCTATGTTCATATTACCCCGCCTTCCCCTATTACCTTGCTTTTCTATTAAAAAAAAAATTGCTTCATAATGATATTCAGTAAAGGTGGAGTTCAAAGAACGGCGCTTTTGATTTTCTAATTAAAAAAAAATTATAGTCAAAAAAATAAAGTCCAGGATGGAAAAGTAAGTGTTTAACATCTGAGTAAAAAAAAATGAAAAGTCGGTCTAAAAAAGTGACAAATGAGTTCAAAAATGTAATTTTGGCATTTCAGTACAAAAAAGTGAGACTTCATGGACGTGAGTGGTGACTAGATTTGTAATGGTCGGCTAAATACACATTTTTTTAAGTATTGTAACTATTTATGTTACAAGTGCTGAAAAGAAGGGAAACTACAGTATAAGAAACGTGAATACGGGGCGAGACCGAGGGTCGAGCTTTATATGAAAGCGAGTTATTCTGTCATTTTTGTCAAAAGTTACATATATTTTTGGTGGCGTCTTTTATTAAAGTATTTTTTTATGTAAAAGAGAATAAAGTAAGTAAAGTTGGTATTCATTTCCTCACTAAACATCAAACGTGAAATGCATGATGTGTCATTTGCAAAAAAAAAACTTTAGTATAATCATTCACTTTTATAAATAGTTAATTTGACCAGAAAGTATTATCCTTCAAATCGGAATTAATTTTTACAAGGCATATTTATTTAAAATTTGAAAAGTTATTGTAAACTCGTGAGTCATTTGCGCTAATACATTCAAATTTAATTTTGGTTTAAAAAAAATCCTCCAATGTCAGACAGAATTTCCCTCGCTGCTGAAGTATAGTTTAGCAAATCCAGCTTCTTCGAAAAATGATAAAAATTTGATTTAACGAAATTTGATCTATTTTTGATAACCTTTACAATCAAAATAAAATTGGTCGAAGATTACTTCCATAGAACTCTCGTCCGTGAAGTATGGTACAAGTAATTCGGTTTCTTTGAAAAATGAAATAAAAACGAATGGTTTAAACAACATTGCTGCAGTCCCTTAACCGCGAAACTTCAAATTTCCAGGGAGCGCAGTCGCACTAGTACCGACAGTGTGACATATACATATTTGTAGCAATCTAGCAATTAATCAATGGGAATAAAAGTATTATCAGTACATGCTTTTTTTCGATTGACTGTATTTATACATCGAAACAATGCGACGATTAAGCACGTAACAAATAAGCAATGATTTTGCCTTCTCAAAGCAGGTCAGGAGACTAAAATATTTAATTAACCTACAATGGAGCAAAATGTTCTAAATATTATTTTGGATAAGTAACTGTTATTATAATAATTCTTATACATATTTTCACTATTAAACTATAGGTAAAGAAGCATTGGATGTGTATGTTTCGAGTGTCTTTAATAAAATTTTGTGGTGACGTCATCAGGCACAAATACATAGATCAATTTGGATATATACAATCTAATTCTAACGTCGGTCTATTGCTAGAATTTCACAAAAATGAGGTAAGCCGTTTTTCATTTAATCAGTAAAATAAATTGTCTCACTGAATAATTTTTGAGATACCATGTTCAAGCAATTCTAAAAATTTGAATGCTCCGGTAAACTTTTGGGAGCACCCAAATTTTTCTTTGATATTTTTAGTACGGGCGAATGAAATTATTGTTGAAAATTACAATTTTAAAATAAATTTTGTTTAATGTTTTAAGCAGTCTTCATGAATGGTTGCTTAATTTTTTATAACACCCACTAGAGAGTTTTCATAAATGTTGCAGATTTGGTTGCTTCTTGTTCGTAATGGTAGATATTATTATTACTTAAAATGGTTAATCTGTTATCTGTCAAAATTATAATATAATTAGTATGACATTTGAAATTTCGTTGCCATTACAGTTACACGGTCCGAAAGAGGAGAATGTTAGAAACATTTATGAAAGCCCTGTAGAGTAAAATGCATATAATTCTGTGTGAACGATTACAATTAATTTAAATGTAAGAATTTGTAACAAGCTTCAAGGTAGAAGACGCATATGATATGCAGTGAAAAGTGAAAGAGAAGAGAAGAAGTAGTATATCAAAAAACTAGTTTGATAAGATGTTATTTTAGAGTACAAAATCCAAAATTTAAAACAGAGTCGTCAGACGAGTTTTCTAAGGGAAGAGGATTCTAAAAAGTCTCATGAAACGCGTATTTTATACTATTTTTCCTACTTCGCACTCTTTTTCCCACTGTAAAATAAAAACTGGAATTTTTAAAATTTCGAGAAATTTTGTCGTTGTTGCGACTAACGCCGGATTGTAACAATTTCCACGATACTAAATTATTATTAACAATGTGTGAACCTGAAAGATTCTTACGCTTTCCGAAACACGAGAAATTACCCAAAGAAGCCAGGGCTCACCTCAAACAATATTGTCTTATAAGTCTAAACTTGTCCGCTACCCAAAGTTCCACAGGTCCAGCTAGATGAATCACATGGCAGTTAGCCATGAAAGTAATTTTCAGCATAATAAGTATGTCAATCACCTCACCTGGCGTTAATCCAAGTGCCCAAGACACATCCGATGTTACGTTTAATTTTTTTTTTATTCGTTATGTCATAATGATATTTCTAGTGACTACGAATCTTGAAAGTATAAATTATACAAATTCTAATAAAAAACTCAATTTGGGTGCTTTAATGTCTCATCTCAGTTATAAACGCGAAGGAAAAAATTTGGTCGAAAGTTATTTCGACAGATCATCCCTCACCCATAAAGGCACTGTACTTTAAGTACTACTTAATCAAATACAGTTGTTCCGAAAAATTATAAGATGTGATTTTTTGTGGTAACCTCTATAAGTTAAAACAAAGATATGTATGTAATATTCAAGTAAAAGTAAAAAAGCGTGATACGCGTTTGTTTCAAACGAATTTTTCCTTTACAAAATTTCATGATGAAACAACTTTTTTGCAAGGACACGTAGATCAATTTGGATAGATGCAGTGTAATACTAATAATAACAGTACTGTCTTCCCAAATTTTCGAGAAAATAGAGTGAATCGTTCTTGAATTTTGATTCAATCAATAAAATAACAATAAAATTTAATAAAAGCATTTATAAGTACTCGTAATTTAAGATAAATAGCGATAACGCTTGTTCAGGTTCTACACGTGCCAGTGAAACAGAGAAACTAAATGAGATTTTCTACG